TTACCAATATCTTTTTTAATTTCATCCACCCAGCTGTCCAATGCATCAAAACTGTCTCTGTTACCAACATCGTAAACAAGCATGGCACCCTGTGTATCCTTGTAGAATTCATTGCGAACCTAAAAAAAATTCATGATGCAATGAATTAAAATGACAATCAAGCAACAATAGAAAAATTAGTTGCCATGATGAGAGTCAGTAGCTTTTTAGACCAAAACATTTTAAGAGAAGGAGTGGGGGATAATAAATTCCATATTTTCCAGTCCACTTTTTTCAATAGTCCAATATTTACAAGTTAACACCTTCAAAAATAGAAATAGTCTACCTCATAAAACACAGGGTGACCAGCCATGTCAAATATGTTCACTTTCACATCCTTGTCATTTATTGACACCCTAAGTAGAAAAGAATTTGGAGCACAATAACTGGATTAAAAGAAATGCCATATGTAGTGTGATATAGCAATAGAATTCTCATCAGTCAGCATACTTGGTTATGAAAACCCTTAAATCAGAATTGAGAAATTTTAAATTACACTTTTCTTTTATCTTTATTCCAAGAGTAGAAATGACATGGCTTTTGTTGGGTCCTGTTTCGAACAACATGCAATATGACACACTCCATATGCAGTCTGCCTGTAACTCATGCAAAAAAAATGAGTGCTCTAATTGGCATGTAAAAAGGCTTGCATGCTAAGTGGCGTGCATGCTGATTGGATGATGCAAAAATCCAAAACACTCCAAAGAGCCAACTCTATTAAGATAGGACTGCCACTATCAAGGAATTGAGGAAATTCCTTTACCAGGGAACACTCAATTAATAAAGGCACACAAATTTGTTAGTCTAAGAAACCCAAACACAATAATAGCAACCTAATAATTTTCACCAACTAAACAGATCTACCCCTTTATCACCCTAAAAATGACAATGAGCTGGGGAAATTTACAACTGCCACTACTTAAATAACATAAATGACAAAGAGGTAAACTCACTTTGTCACACCATAGTCAATCCCTATTGTTGTCATGTACTTGCTCACAAACCTCTTCTCACAGTACCTCTTGATGATACAACTCTAACAAATGAATATAAAGAGATTGCATCACAGATAATTGTCAGGTACACAGTTCTCATTTTCATCTACTTATATGTATGCTTTTTTCCTTTTCCCTTTTTCTAGTTTGTGTAGCATTTTCAGCTGTAACTGTTTTCATGTCCCCAGGACAAGTGGTAAAGAATTTTAGCTACATTATAATGTGCAGTGGAAGTTGCCAATTTGGAGACCTGTGTTCAGTATGGTAATTCACAGGACATAACTTTTTTGAAAATTAAGTTTTATGGTTTGAAGTAAATGTGTGAAAAACATTTTTTAATTCATGACATTTTCCTCAAGTTCCAACATTTTCTTCAAAAACAATTTCCTGACTTTTTCCTTGGTTTCCCAATTATTAAGCCCTACAGATGACATGAAAAACTCCAAAAATGAACACTAGCGATAGTGATTGCTCCAAAGACAAATTGTAGAAGTATTTTTTATATTGGCATATTTTACGAGAGAGATAAGAGGAATACTACACAGAGAACCACAAAGACAAGATGAAGCATGTAATGGGGATTTTCACTGGCAGCTACAACTGCTGCTGCCAACCCTGAGGGTCAAAAGAAGGTCTTGAAAATGATCAAGATTTAACCATTCAACTCTAGTGCTTAAAAATGACATAAATGTTGAGCAAAGAACTTTACTTGATCCAATGTCCTCTTACAGTACAGATATTGTAGATGGAAATCTAAGCAGTCTGAGTAAATACAATGTATCTGCAAAGTTCATCATATTTAAATTGAAGATTGCAAAGTAAAGTCTGCACTTTCTTATCTAACAATAGTAGTAATGGTGATGTGTGAAACAATTTACTCTTATTTCTAGTTGAATTCGAGGATAAATACTCTAGGAAGATCTTGTAAGCTGTAACATTTCATAGAAAATGTTTTTGCATGTCCATCGAGGTTTTACAGATACATGGACGTTCAATCGTTTGCCTCGTGAGGCCGATCAATACAACTGATTAGCCTGACTCTTACATCGAAGACAAACGATTAAACGCTCAGTTATCTGTAACATTTCAATAGCATACTCATGTAATTTGAATTACCGGTATACTTCCAATCAATTCAACTGACGAACAAGTCGACTACACGTATACGTACATGTGCACGAAAACTGTTGGAAACTAGAGAAAAAACATACACACAAGAAGTTAAGCTTGATCTCCCTTATGTTTTATAAATCGTTACCCCGCGTTTGCCGCAAATGTCAAACTGGTAAAAACGTAAACGTAGAAACTACAGGTTCTAACTTGCTCGAGAACCAAGTAAGCAATCAAATTTATCGCGACTAACCTTTCCCGTTTCAGCGTTTCCCATGCTGATGATTTTTATGCGAATTGCTGTCTTGTTCCGATGAAATTTATCCATACTGATCTTAGTATAGATCAATATCAAACAACCGTTTGAAGATTATCCGTTAATTTATGTTTGTGCAAGTTTCACCGCAAACGTCGAGGAAAACTTCTCCATTGGTGCTCAACATACATACTCACTACCACTTCATACATTTCTAGAGATTCGCACCAGGAGATCTGACCCCAAAGGCAATTTCAGCTATGGCTTACGAAGTGACAAATTGTGGTAAACAAACTGAGAAGTTCATGGAAACCGCGCCGACGCCATTTTGGTTGCCAACTTCGTTACCAGTTCCAACGAATAGTTGAGATCGAGAAAGATTGAGACTAGGGAACTGGGTATTATTTTTTTCAGTCCAAGGACGAGGAAAACACTGGAAACACATAACTGCGTATTTAAATCTACTTTAATCTTTTGTTTCATTTTTTTGTTTCTAAATAAACCTTAATTTTTAAGTTGCCCAGTCATGCTGTCGGTCAGTTCAGTTAAAGAGAAAAAGCGACAAGGCGTGAAAAAGAGCAGGACCGCCGTCTGATCGATATCCGGGCATCCGCCGCGCTTAGACTCTTGCCCTCTCCTTCTCTTCTGACCGAGAGCTTCACATAGACCTCTGCCACGTGATCTGGGTCTATAGCGGTGTTCATTTTACGTTTTAATTTTGAAAGACTGAAAGGTTAATTGCTATTGGACATATATAACTTTTTTTCATGAAGCACAAAAGGTTACAGGGGCTAAGTTTCTAATGGAACGGTGGTGCTACGTCGGTGGGAGAGTGTAGCAAGTGATTTAGTGTTAACAACTGAGTTGAAAACAAAAATTGGCCACCGTAAGAGTTAAAAGGCTGACGTTTCGAGCACTAGCCCTTCGTCAGAGCTCTGACCCCAGCTTTTAACACTTTACGGTGGCCAATTTACGTTTTCAACTCAGTTGTTAATACTGAATTACCCACAAAAGGTTACACAAGGTTACACTTGCTTGCAGCCATCAAACTGATATCAAGTCTGTAGCTCCTCTCAATATTACTCAGTACAGAAATTACAATGCTGTTAAAAGATGTAAAACTAGTTGAAATGATGGTATGGAGGTAGCCAAACGTATTTCATAATCACCTTCATTTACTTTGATCTTCATCTTTTGCGCATTACGAAAAAATACCTTCTCTTATTACTACCATTTTACAACTTGACGGTAGCACATTTGAAGTTATATCTGAGTTTTCTGATCTAGCTTGGCTCAACAACTGATCATATATAATCTTGGAACCTCACACTCTAAAGCAAAACTATGCCTAAAAAAAACTTTAGAGTTTCAGTTTTTCTAATCGTATTGTATAATACGTGGAATTCGCCGCCTTTACTTATCAGAACCGCACCTAGTTTCTTAAATTTCAAAGGCGGCGTAACTATAACAATAACAGAAATATCAATTCCACTTTCCACTGTAAAATATTTTAATCTAAATCAACAAAACTTCGTCCGAGGGAAATTCGGAGCTTTCTTTGCTCGACAAGGAAAACAGCCGTTTCGTTTTCCTGCACAAAATGGCGCAACACACCAAAGAAGCTGAGCATACAGGGACGATAGAGATCAGTGCCGGGTATGGCTTGTTGGTGTCCACTTGACTTAGAAAGCCGATCGCTGTTGAATAACTTGCTACCACTCCAAGGAGACATCTGGGGGACTTGAAAAACGACATGGCAAAATTTGCGACAATGGCACCAATAATTATGTCTCCTGTTCCAAGAAAAACGTGCGTTTGATTCTCTCCAAACCGCACTGTGAACACTGAAGGCAGCTCCCACGCACTGTTTATTTCGAATAACTGACAGAGAAGATTGCCACATTCTCCAATGCTTAGGACCTGGGGAGTTTCGTTCATACGTGCAAGTAGGCAAACGTCGTATACGAGAGCAGTCCACAAAAAAATCTGCAGAAAGGCAAAGTTTCTGAACTGGACGTGGCTGGCCAGAAAGGCAAACATGGTAATGATCACATTGTTAATGATCCAACGAAACTGGGTCTCCACCGATAATAACCAAATCACACCGAATAAAATGCCAAGTAAATAACCGATCTTCAATGGCAACCATTGGGCGAATGCGATCATAATAAAACAAACGACGGCGACATGTTGTAAAATGATCATAACAGACGGATAATACTGGAGAATGACAACAGTTAAACCCATGGCTGCGAAATACGTAAAAGTAAAAAGCAAATACTGTGGTAGCCTTAACTCCGCTCCTTTAGCTTCGTGTTCAAGAGATGCGGAGTTCTCACGATTATCTTTTAGTTCGTTCTTTGGGGCGCTCGTCCATTGTCCATTTCGTCGCATCTTTTCGCCGTATATCGCGCTGAAAAAAATCAATGCGCTTACCGAAAAATCCATGATCCAGAAATTGTACAGCACCATTGTTGGAAAGGATAAATAAGCAAAAATTAACAGGACGATCTTTTTTTTTTCTTTCTATTCCTTTTCTTGTCGGAGTTGACTGTAAAGAAATTTTGATTTGAAGCGATGTTTTCAAAGACGTATTACCTGCTCTGACGTCACGAAGTGAAACAGCAAGCAGCTACACGCGGTCTTTTTAATAATTCAAAGGGAGCCGGGAATTCTCTCGAGGTTATTGGCAGGTAGAACAAGCAAAGGTCGGAATATGATCTTAACACTTAGAACCTAATGAAACATAGCGCTACCATTGTGTAGCAAAACAATGAAGACAGTGACCAGAAAAATAAAGCTATTGATTTGTTGAGTGAAAAAAGAGATTTTCCTTCGAATTTTACTCTTCTTTCTATTTCATTATATGACAAAATAAAATTAAAATTCTTATCTTTATCCTAGGGTAATTTGTTGATTATATAGCATTAGGGGATGAGCAATGAATTGGCCCAATCAGTCCAATAAGACAACAAACGACCATTAGTAAAATCAACATTTCTCTTCAGCGGTCAATGTGAAAATATCATTCTTACCAAAATAGATGTGGAGAAAACGAGCTCATGATAAAATTTACCTTAATAGAAAATATATAAAAAAATATATAAAAAATGTCCCAAATTGATTGCTTTCTTTTGTTATTTTGAACGTGTCCTGTGCCTTGATCAGCAGCGTTTACCAGACGGATTGGCTTGCTCGGAGAAAAAGTTTAAATGTTTTATGTTTTACCTTTCAACATCTAAAATAAGTGATATTGACATTCTCGAGAGAGTTCGAATGTTGCCACCCTATATTTGAGAAATGGAGGACTTTTTCTGTGTTTACTTTTCTTGAAAAAGCCTCGTCTCAATTGCCCGTCTTAGTTTCTCTAGGGGCATATTTCAAAAATTTCTCAAGAAATAAGAGAGATACTGCGGAAATAGACCATTAAAGGAACAGGATTTCAAGGAAAAGGCGCGTTTCTAAGTTTTACTTTGTTTGGTAGAAGAGGACCCCTTAGGGAAAAAGGACGGGAAAAAAAAACAAAAAATTCGAGAAGAGTAAGTTATGCTCAGCAGCTTTGTAAATACAGGCCTCACTTTGAACTTTTGCAAAGCAATGAAAGAACAATGAGAGCAGCTAGCTTCGACCCTTGTTTGGCTCAGATGGTCTGTTTTTAATGTATCCTTCTAAAGTTATTTTGTACACTCAAAATGATTCGTATAATTTCCCGGGATCAATGTTACATGCTGTTTGCTCGTTTCTCTAACTTCTTTTTCCTTTTTTAGTTCTTCTACGAACAACCATACAATCTACGAGTGGTTTCCACGTGAGAAAATTCAGAACTGGTTATTTCTTGATTCTCCTGGGATCCCCAGTACCGGGTCTAAGAGAGAAAATTAACCTTACCCTTGGAGTGGGTCACGGGATCACCCTTAGTATATAAATTTGAAGAAAGCGAGTTAAAGGAAAGCTTTAGGTGCAATAGTATGGCAAATTAAGTTTCCAAGCTAGTTATGAAGGTAAGTTACATATTTAATGGTTCCTCAAAGTCATGTCCTCGTCTTTTCCGCTTGTTGCAGTTGATCACCAATACAACAAACAAAATCACAGCTACAGCACCAAATACTCCAGTTAGGGTGGCCAGGACAAGCAGCAGTGTATCTGGAATTCAAAGATCAAATAGGTTAATTTTCACAGGAGCCTCATGAATCTCTCGAAACCTCTCCTACTATACGCCATATCCAAAAGTGACTTAGGGCACTGCCACTCTTGGTGGACGGAGCGTTCTTCCAATGCTGGTAACCCCAAGCCAGAAAATTTTCCTCATCAGTTTGTCAGTAACAATGTACACTCCTGGGTAGAGAAAAACACTCTGAAGGTTTTGTGTATTGATAAAGGGCACATCCCGATGACCACTACGGGTTGAGCCCGGATCTCTCAATCCTGAGCTAGTGTGCCAGTTATGCTCACCGCCACATGGCATCTATCCAACCTTGTGCCCAGAGTCTCTCTTCATCTTGCCTTTAGGGCGTGGAAAGAATTCCAGTAATAAAAAATCAATTCACATCAACTGAACTCGCATGAGATCAGAACTAAAACGGCTTATCTATGTTAACATTTTTTTTGCCTGGTTGGTGTGACTTCTTATCAACTGATATATATTCAATATGATATATTAATATATATATATATATATATGTATGTATGTATATATATATATATATATATATATATATGATATATAAACTCTACCTTTTTGGAGACTTTGTTGAACTGAGATACATATGATATCTTTCTCCTCCATCTTTTTAGAATGAATAACCTCTAAAAATACTGAAAATATTGTTTTGCACACACCTTTCCCATCATCTTGTTTTTCTGATATTGTCGGAATGTGACTAGCTGTGGATGGCCTAGCAATTTCTTGAAGACTTGGTAGAAGCTCATTCCATAGCGCCATTTTCTCTGGACGCATTTTGAACCGAAGTGTCAAAGTGGAACCTAGTCCCATATATTCTTCTTGGTCTGTTGTAAACTGGGGCCAAGCTTCTGCTAGTGGCGTTGGCTTATTAGGGTTCCTAGTGTGTTAAGCAGTATCATTGGTGAACAAGAAAATTGTTTAGACGCAGGAAATTTAGTTGGAATAAAACACCACTTCACGAAAAAAAAAAAAAACAGCAAACAGGGATAGGAGTATTAGTTTTTCAGTTCCCTTTGAAATATTCTGAGATTGGTTTGGTCAGCCACATATGAGATAAGCGCAAGCTAACAAACGGAAAAAAAGAAAAACACAAAATAAGAAAGAAAAAACACAAGCCAGAAGCCTTTCCTGATTAGACTTGGAGACTGATCGAAAGCTTTTTTTTTCCTGTATGGTTGCTGTTGGACTAAAACCATAAAAACAAAATTCCCTTTGCATCACTGGTCGGAGGCAACGCAAATAATGTATTGCGGTGAGTTGTATAATTAACTATTCTGGATACCAATCTTGCATGGTCTATGGTTTCTAAAAATAAAATTTCCAACATCTGGTAATAAGTCATCCCTAAAATGGGGCTTTTCAATCTTTTTAATACCCAGTGACTTGTTCTGACTTACCCTGTTTTAGCAAAATTAGTCCAAAAGGTCATGATATCTTTACTCAGTTGTATGTCGTCAGGAGACGTAAGATTCTCGGTCATAACAAGAGGCTCTCCAAATGTGTATAAGACATCGGCGCGATGATACACTCCAAGCCACGCAGGAAGCGGGAACGGGATCGCGGGAAATGTTTTTGGTACTTTTTCAAGTTGATAAAAGTAGGTGGGTGCCTGTTTCTTTGTGAATGCCTTGACTGCTTTTAATAGCGGAGCTTTAAATGTTGCGTCTGAGTTAATGTCAATGAACTGCTGTCTTATCACATAAGGATCAGAAGCATTCGACCAGTCAGTGTACTGGTAGATTAGCAAATCCAAGATTTGAGAGTTTTGATTACGAACCCAAGTCCAGTTGCGTATCGTTTCTTCAAATTGAGCTCTTGACATTCCGTTCGTAACTTCAAGACGTTTCAGAACACCTTTAAATTAATAAAACATGTTAACAGAAAAAACTGCACCTAAGCCATACTTATGTGCTCCGTTTTTTTTGTCTAATTTCTTTGTATGTCGATTTTTTTTATAGCGATAAGTGTGCTTAGTATTGACTAATAAAGGTCGCATGTGGCCTACAATAGTCAAAGTACAAGCAGGTAAACAGTTATAAGACAGAGCACAGTGGCTAAACTACTTCTTATTGGCAGGCTAGCTCAATATCTGAACTCTTACCTTCACACTCTTTCTAATGTAGAAAAAATGGTGAAAATCAAAATAAATACCATAAAATAAATAAATGAAGTCATAAATAATGAATAAATAAATTAAGAAGCTAGAATATTTTCCCACATAAACATCCTAGTCCAGCTGGATACCGGAAAACGGAAGTCTGACTGCTTTGATCATCTTGTTAGGCGGGTTGATGTTTCAGATATGAATACCCGGGATGAACTCTCCAGTTAGAACCGGAGGCAAAATTCACTTCGATAAAGGGCCAGCCTGATTACTGAGCTTTCATGAACAGGTTCTTACTAATAAACATGCCTTTTTCAACCTTCTTCATTACTGGTGCAGCCAAGAAGAAGGTGATTCTAAAAACTAAATGCAATATCAAAATATGGTATGAAAGTTTGAGGAGATCCGAATACCCACCAGGCGCACCAGTGACAAAAATTGAGCCGTCATCTTGGGCCACTCCAGCAATGATATTAGTCTTGTTGAACTTGCCGGCTTGAAGCAATTTGGCTGGTAAATCTGTACATGAGTGATAACATAACTTATTACGTCTTTTAAATATCGCCTGTGACGTGAATTGTATAGACTTTTTAGATGTTGTTTTGTTTGTGGGAACACTCAAAGTTGACTTTAACACCAGCATCAAATACCTGGTAAGAAAAATCCATCCACCACCGGTCCGAAGGGTAACAAAATTGGGGTTGAAAAGACTTTTATTTGGGCATCCATCAATTGCTGAACACTTTTCGTCTTCGCACAAAATTTTAGGGAATCCACATCACAGCCAACGGCATTAGCGAAGCTCCTAGAAGAAAAGTGGAATATATGGGCATTGTTCATGAATTTGGCATTCTGTTGGGGTGGGGGCGTGAGTTTTCAACCATAAGGGAAGGAATGGGGTTACAATCCAGCATCTCATGGGAAATTAAGAGTGCATGGGGGGAAAGAGGAGGGAGGGAGGGGGGTGTGAGGCAGTTGAGTATTTCCTAATAAAGAACTAAACTCATAACCGCCTTAGGGTGGTGACCAACGTGTCATTTTATTACAATAAAATAATAACCTCCATTAGGGTTGTCGTGAGGTCAGTCACTGGTGCCGAAAACTTTCGTTTAGTGGTTATTACCGTTTCAAGTGTTTTTATTGGCTCAAACCTTTAACTGTGACAGTTCTAGTACCTTGCTCTTCGGTAAGCCTCGTTTTTGGTCATCGCCGATGAAAGAGATGCGGGATTTCCACTCTGCATGATGATGTTCTGATACAGACCATGAGCCATTGGCGATAACATTAATAACGACACACATGTTCCTCCAGCTGAACCACCAAATAAGGTAACTTTGTTTGGATCTCCTCCAAACCTGATTGATCAAACATATTCATGCTCAGATTTTAGTT